ATATACAGAAACTAAACAAAACATTTTTGAACAGCTATTTGTTCAAAGAGGAAATCAAAGGGAATTTAAAAATTATCTCAAGACAAAAACAAAAACAACACAACAAAACTTATACAAGGCAGCAAAAGTAGCATTGAGGAAAGTTTACAATGATAAATGCCTACAGTAAAAAAGAATAGAGATCTCAGGTAAAAAACCTAACTTCACACGTCAAAAAACCAGAAGAAAAGAACAAACTAAGCCCAAAGTCACCTGAAGGAAAGGAATAATAAAGATAAAAGCAGAAATAAATCAAATAGAGAACAGAAAAAAATTAACAAAACTAAGAATTGGTGTTTTGAAAAGATAAACAAAATTGACAAACACCTGGGCCGACTAAGAAAATAAGAAAACTCAAAATCATAAATGAAGGAGGAGCCATTACAATGGATGCATCAGAAATAAAAATGATCATAAAAGACAATAAAAAATTCCTATGTGTAAATTGGATAACTTAGAAGAAATGGATAAATTCCTAGAAATGTATAACCTACCAAATTGAATTAGGAGGAAACAGAAAGCCTGAACAGGCCAATAACAAATGAGATTGAGTCAGTAATCAGAAACTTCCCAAAAAAGAAAAATCCAGACCAGGTGGCTTTCTAGGTGAATTCCAACCAGCATTCTAAGAAGAATGAATACCAATTCTTTTTTTTTTTTTTTAAACTTTTCTAAAAAATGGAAGAAAAGGGCATATTTTGAAAAACTCCTTTTATGAAGCCAGTATGACCTTAATTCCAAATCAGACAATAATGGCACAAGAAAAGAAAACTACAGGCCAATATCCCCCATGAGTATTGAAATAATAATCTTGAGCAGAATACTAGCAAACTGAATTCAACAATGAATTAAAAAGATCTTAACACCATGATCAGGTGGAATTCATCCCTGGGATGCAAGGATGCTTCAGCAGATGCAAATCAGTCCATGTGATACAACACATTAACAAAAAGGAAAACAACCTCATGATCATCTCAACAGATGCAGAAATAAAAGCATTAACAAAGTTCAACATCCATTCATGATGAGATCTGTCAACAAAATAAGTACACTAGTAATTTACCTCAACACAATAAAGGCCATGTATAAAAAGTCCACAGCTAACATCATTATTAAAAAAAAAAAAAAACTTTCTGTCAAGTATCTGGTAGAAATGGTGCTCATTCTTGCCATTTCTACTTAACATAATACTGGAAGTTCTAGCCAAAGCAATTAGACAAGTAAAAGAAGTTAAATCATCCAAGTTAGACAGGAAGGAGTAAATTACTTCCATTTTCCAACATCATCATCATATATGTAGAAAATCCTACAGACACAACAACAACAGCAACACACTGTTAGAGCCAGTAAGTGAATTTCATAAAGCTGTGGGACACAAAATCAACTTACAAAAGTCAGTTACGTTTCTACAAACAAGTGAGCTATCTGAAAAATTAATAAAAAATTCATTCCTAATAGCAGCAAAAAATAATAATAATAAATGTAACCAAAAAGGTGAAAGTCATATACACTGAAAATTATACAGGCGATGATGAAGAAAATTAAAGTGAACACAGACCAATAAAAGGGTATCTAATATGCATGAACTGGAAGAATTTATATTATTAAAATGTTCATACTACCCAAAGTGATCTACAGAGTCAATACAATCCTTATCAAAATCCCAAGGGCATTCTTCACAGAAATAGAAAAAACAATCCTAAAATTCATATGGAACCAGAAAAGACCCTAAATAGCTAAAGCAGTCCTGAGCAAGAGGAACAAAGCTAAAGGTGTCATACTTCCTGATTTCAAAATACAGTGCTTTAGTAATCAAAACAGCATGGCGCTGGCATAAAAACAAACATATAGACCAAGGGAACACAAGACAAGCCTAAAATAAATCCAGGCATCTACAGTCAACTGATCTTCCACAAAGGTGCCAAGAATACACAGCAGGGAAAGGAGAGTCTCTTCACAAAATGGTGTTGGGACAATTGGAGTTCCACATCAAAAGAATGAAACTGGACCCCATCTCATAACATATACAAAGATCAACTCGAAGTGGATGAAAGACTCAATGTTGCTCTGCAGCTGTAAACCAATTAGAAGACGACACAGAGGAAAAAGCTTCATGACATTGTTCTGGGCAAAGATTTTTGGATATGATGACAAAAACATAGGCAACAAAAGCAAAAATAAGTTAGACTGAATTAAACTAAAACAACAAATCTGCACAGAAAAGGAAAAAAATCAACAGTGAAAAGGCAACCACTGGGGAATATACTTACAATCATATATTTCCTTAGTGGTTAATGTCTAATATATATAAAGAACATCTACCACTCAATAGGTAGGTGTTTTGTTGTTTTTTCAACAACAAAAATCAAACAAAACCTGATTTAGAAATGGGCAAAGAACCTGATTGCACAGTTTTCAAAGAGATAGCAACGATCAATAAGTCTATGAAAAAGTGTCCAATATCAGTAATCAAATCAACAGATCAAAGCCAGAATCAGATATCCCCTCTTACAGAGGCTATTAGCACTAAGATAAATGATAACAAGGGCTGGAAAGGGTGTGGAGAAAAGAGAATCCTGTAAATTGTTGGTGGGAATGCAAATTAGTACAGCTAGTATAGAAAACAGTATAGAGACTTCTCAAAAAATTAAAAGTAGGACCACCGTTTGATTCAGAAATACCACTTCTAGGCATATACCCAAAGGAAATAAAATCAATTTCACAAAGAGAAATCTGTGTCAGATTTCAGTGTATTTCAGTGTAGTCACAGTAGCCATGATATGGAAACTACCCAAATGTCTGTCAATAAATAAATGGATCTATGAAATACGTATATGTATGTACACATGGCACAGTTTTCAGTGTATCCCTGGAGTCCTTCCAGACAGTTCCTGCCCTGTCCATTGCAGTTGGTTGGCAAAACCTCCCTCTGTCCTGGCACCCAGTGTCCCTCTACCCTAACTCCACATTTCACCCCCATGCCACTGCCTGAGTGCACCATAGTGTCCCCGCCCCCCATTACACACACACACATACACACAATCATCATTCTGCTTTCAAAAGGAGGGAAATTAAATCACTTCCAACGACATGGATGAACCTGGAGGCCATTATGCTAATTGAAATAAACCAGACACAGAAAAAAACAAATACTGCATGATCTCACTGATATGAGGGACCTAAAAGGGCAAAACTCATAGCAGGAGAGAGTAGAATAGTGGTTTCAGAGGGGTGGGATTAGTAGGATGGGGAGAAATGGGGGGATGTTGGTCAAAGGCTACAAAGTTTCAGTTTCACAAAATGAGTAAGTTCTGGAGATGTAATGAACAGCAATGTGACTCTAGTTCACAGTATTATATGTTTGAAATTTGCTATAAGAGTGGCTCACACACACAAAAAGAAAATGGTAACCATGTGAGGTGGTGTTTGTGTTAATTAACTTGATTATGGTGATTATTTAACAATGTATACAAATTTAAAAACATCAAGTTGTATATCTTAAATATATACAGTTTTAAATTATCAATGATCTCCCGATAAACAAGCATTGTATGTTGCATTATTTATATTTACTGCCAATAGAAAAATTATGTCAAAGTCCATCTATGTAAGGATCTAAAATATAAAAAAAATACTTGCACAGTAAAATATTTTTTCTTTTACTTCATGGAATTGTTTATTCCATTTATTTGTAACAGTGCATTTTTCACACAATATTCTCTTTTACCTAAACTTAATGCATATGTAGTAAGAAAGATTTACTATCCCAAGTAGCCTCTAAGTATTTAGATGAGGATAAAACACGCCTCTCCCCTGCTTACTGTGTGTACTTAGAAGGCAGAAAGCAGCTCACACAAGCCTAACCTGGCCCTGTCTTCCTCGGGCTTCTCAGGATGCCAACAGCACATGCTGGGGAGCCAGATGCAGGGAGCAGCCCAGTCTGTTTTCAGGAGGTCGCAGCCAGCAGGGCACAGTTAGGATGTGCCCTGATAAAGGGGTACACAAGAGGAACCCCGGCTGTGGGGGAGTGGGGGCACTACGGTGCACTCAGGCAGTGGCATGGGGACAAAACGTAGGAGTTAGGGTGGAGGGACACTGGGTGCCAGGACAGAGCGGGGCTTTGGCAACCAACTGCAATGCATGGGGTAGGGACTGTCTGGAAGGACTCCAGGGATACACTGAAAGCTTTGCCAATGCATTAGCCGTGAAATCTAAGAAACTCAGTACATGTTCTCCCTCTGCCCACCAAGAGTTTGCATTTATCTTGTGGCACTTTTTGGTTTTCAGTCCAATCTGCAGGAATTACGGACAGCCCATTGTATGCAGAAGACTAACTGCTATGGCAGACAAAGACGTGTATAGATAAAAGCCCTGCCTTCAGTAAGGTTTTACTGATTGCTTACAATCAGTAAGGTTGTTAAGGCAAAGCCTCAAACAATAAAGCAAATCATATTATATTTTAATATAATATGATTTCCACACGTTTCATCTCTCTGGATCTCCCTCAATGCCTACCAGAAAGGTGTTTCAATGAACAATTGGTACTCTTATTATTTTCATGCCATCTTCACTATTTATTGTTTCAAAGGAAATCCAGTAGTTTCAATGATTTTTCAATGTACATCCAGCTTCTTTCTGACATGCAGAATATTTGCATTAATAATTCATGATTACATAATCTCTCCATTCATTTAATGAATCCAAATATTTTATGCCAGTTATGTGCTTCATCAGATAATCTATGTGATAAAATATCTCTAGAAAAGTTAACTGTCTTGCCAAACCCAGCATCTAATAAAGGACTTCTTGTCTCCCATCTGTTTTAATTGCACCTTACACTGATGTTAAATGATATATGTGAGTGGACTTCATCTTCACCCTGAAATACACAATTCAACATCATCTTTCTGAACTAAATAGAAAAAAATAAGCAATACATATGTGCCTCCTTTTTTACTCACTTGAGACAGTATAGACATTTAGGTATTCACATATCATTGAATTCATTTGGATCTTTGAATACTTGAGCTTCAAATTCCATCTGGCTCTGTAAAAAAAAGGTACTCAATTTAGTATAGATTTACAAAAAAGGCAGAGCACCACAAAATGTTCTGTAAGCCTCCTTAGTGTGTGTCGAGACAGGATAACTGAGAGCGATGGGCATCGTGAACGTCTGCCGTTTGCGCATCTCACGCACAGATCTCATAACTACACTCCAAGCACAGTGCTTCGTTCTGTGGCCACGGAGATGAGCAAGATCACTTGACCCAGCTCTCCAAAAGTCTCCAGCCTGGTGGCAGAGACTGGTCAGAAACTGGCAAGCATCAGTCAGGGCTGAAAGGCTATGGGAGGGAAAGGCACACAGTGGACTCGGAGTCTAGGAGGATGAATCAGGGTACAGCCAAGTCCTGGTTGGGAATGAGACACTTTCTGGAGCAGGAAGGCTGAGAGCCAAGGGTGAGGGAGATGTGGTTCAATAAGGCAAGAACCCAAGAGCATTCATGGGATTTATTTACAAGGCAGGAGGGTGACCTTGCACTAGCACATTCAGGGATAGATGGGAAAAAGTGATAGTCAGATCTTAAATCTGGACAATTCTTTTGAGAAACTAGGCTTTGAGAAAGAAAACCATTATACAAGAAATAGAAGTAATAGGTGTGAAATTAAGATAAGTTCTCTCCTTTTCTTTCTTTCTTTCATTTTGATTTTCAGATGGTACAGTTTTGAACCTTTTAAAATTCTAATGGGAAGGTTTCACTAGAGAGGGAAGAGAGTGAAGATGTGGTATAAAGGTAAAGGTAAATAATGAAATAGTTCCTGAGGAGATTAAGAGATCCAGAGCTCCCCATCAGGCACTTCTGAGACCCACCCACCCACTCGCCCATCCATCCACCTCATCTATCCATCCATCTACCCTCCCACCCACCTCACCCATCCAACAACCCATCCCTTTACCCACCCATCCACCTCACCCATCCATCCACCTCACCCATCCATCCATCCACCCATCCATCTACCTACCCACCTACTTCACTCATCCACTCACCTCACCCATCCATACACCCATCCACCCCATCCATCCATCCACCCACCCACCCATCCATCTACCAAGCCACCTACCTCAATCATCC